TTCCTGTCTCCGTCCTGTTTATTCTTCTCACACACATTAACAACCATGTAGCAGTGAGACAAACACTCTGAACTCTTTATTTGTAAAATATCTGTACAATAGTTTAGATGATATAAATCTTAATATAGCATACATGAGGTTAGGTAGTATCCAAACTGGTGTAAGCTGCCACAAAATAGATTTCTTTGCAATAAAAAATAGTACAAATAAATTAACACTGTCATGAAAAGATACCTTTATGTTTCTATTGGTGGCGGTTGAGTAGCAGTTCACAGTTTATCCTTTTCATTTATTTGCCACTACATCACCATTAACAGCAAAAGCATAAATTCTCAGAGAGGTCTGACGGCCACTCCTCCATGCTCCTGTGCTTGCGTGACATACAGTCGCAGGTCGACTCTTGGGGGAGTTTTCCCTTTGGAAATACCCCCACCTTCAGGCCGTGCTCTGTTTCCACCAGCTGACAGCTTGTCTCAGTGGCATCAGCTCCTGCTGGAAACATCAGAACAAAAAAAAGATAATTTAAATTCAGAACTCAGCAGCTCACTCAGACTCAGCTTCTCCCCAATAAAATACTGTATTGTGCTTCTTCTCAAGGCTTTTCTTATAACATCATTTATTGATAGAGCCACAGAAACAGAGTGAAGCAGTGTTTGTGTCCTTGTGAGTCATATCACCAGGTTATTTAAGTATTGCTGTGGTAAGAGTTGTATGTCCGTGCGTCTCTGGTGGTAGGTGTGTGTGTGTGTGTGTATGATTGTTTAGTGAGTGTGTGTGATGTCTAATTTGGTCACAAGACTTGTGTCTATTCCTATCGCGCCTTGGGACTGCTGCTCTTCTAAGGAGGAGTAGAGGAGGAACTACATTTCACTGCTCTGAGAGTCATCCTACCTAACTGCAAAGCAGGGCACTCCATACACTCAGGAGGATGTGAATCCATTTTATCCACAGATCACTTATGTGCTAAGCCTCCAAACAGTCGGCCAGATGATTTGAAGTTTATTTTCCCTCAATGTACTTCACAACCCTCCAGCTTTCCACACTAGACCTACACATGCTTTTTCAGGGGGGTGTTGACTGCAGTCAAAATGGATTTTTGGAAGCCGCCTCGGCAGTTCTGGCATAATGATAATAGTCACAATCATAATAATAATCATATAGCAGTATTATCAGATGGCAAATCACATGCCACATAATCACACTCATGTCCACAGCACTGATCTGCATCTCAAGATAAAACTGTCATTTTTTATCTCCCAATTTATTTCACATCTGATTGGAGAATTTGCATGTAATTATTTACTGCACAACAAAATTGCCCATCGTGATTACTCAACATCATTATTTCAACATCATTCTGGTGAAACTGGAGCTTGATACTGGACGTCTGGGAGCAATGGTGATGAGGAAATTTTGGCTGATTTTGACATTTTTGCAGGGATTAATTAACATTATTGAAAATGAGTACAGGGCGCTGAAAACACCACCTGGTCAAACTATGTAATAATGACCATATTTATACATAATTTAAGCATTTTTATGTGAAATATGTCTGTTGCTGCTGCTGATACTTTCATTATCAATCTACAGAGTATTTTCCTGTTTAAGCAATTAATAATTGAGTCCAAGAAAAAAATAAAAATAACCCCAAAGTATCGACTTTAAATTTACCTTTTTTGTCCGACAAATCTTCACACTGCAGAGGCTGGTTTTTGGCATTTGTGCATTAGAAAAAGTATTTAAACAATTCATCAATTAGAGAAGATTCATTTTCTGATTTTTATCAACTTCAGTTCTAATAATATCTCTTATTATATATACACACAGTATAGTGATATATCAGCCCAAATACATATTATTCTAACTGTGGGATAAAAGATCAAAATGAATACTGTAGGAGTCACAAATCACTGCCATTGATATGTGAGGATAACTACACTTTAAGCACATCAAATCTGCCCCAGGGCAGAGCATCAAAACAGGCAGGCTTCTCTCTGCTGGTCTCTCTCAAACATAATTCAGTCAACAGACTTCTGCCGGCAATTTATCACACAAAAACAGGGGCCCAAAAACTAAATAAATATTCTCAACTGGCAGCAAGAGTACATTTTTCTTGCTGACGTTTTCATTCTATTTCAGTGCCGGCTGAGATGAAAGTACAGAGGGGTAATCCACCTACATTAATGTCCGAGTCAAGTCATTTGTCCTCGGCGCTGTCACCCCAGGCAAGACCTTATTAGGTTAGAGAGAGCCCCGGTTCCTGCGCAGAGTGACAGCAAAACATGGGCCGCTCGGCGGCACGCCGGATGGATATTGAAGCCGACAACCTCCTCTCAACAATTCCCAAAATCTGTGCTGGAGACGCGGGGTGTTGTTATGAATCCCCTGTCATCCTGAAAAATGCAGGACTTCCCCAGCGCAGCACTGGAATGCAAAACAGGCTAAAAATGTGTTGTTCTCCCCCCACCCCCTTATTGGAGGTGCTAAGCAACTTAATATTCATCTAAAATCCATAGTATTGGATGAGCACAGTGTCAGCACCAGGAGGTCGGCAGATAATTTCTATGAGCAGCAGCAGCAGCGAACACTTTAACTCATACTGTTGGATGCACTCAGCGAGCTTCATTCGCCCCTGTCAGCTGAGCATTCAGTCATGTATAGCACTGATTTATACATGCATTGCTGCTCTGCTAAAACTTCGCAGATTTGACTTGACAGAGCATTTCCACCCCCGCGCTGTGATTACATCATACCCTAATGAGAAAAACAGCAGTGTCAATGGCCAAATGGGAAAGATTGTATTAATGGTCAGGAGTGGTGCAAATGGATTGCTCTTTACCACAACCACACCCCATTGTGTTGGCTTCAGTTACAGGTCAGAGATCAACTTCTGCCATGATGCAGGCAATAAATGCTTTCTAAAATAAATAAATAAATCAAGAATGGAGGAAGGGAGACAGAGTGCTTCATGAGAGCCGGGGTACTGTGTGCTGTAATATTTTCCATCCTTTACCCTCCTCTGAAGATTAGCTTTACAGAAGAGCTTGTGTGCATTTTTATAGATGTTTCTTTGAAAGTGCTCCGATTTAAAAGTAGGAAAATTGAATGTCACTCAACCCAATTTTCTTCTAGAATATTAATGGTGTCACCGGGTTCGGGGGGATAAAAATACGTCACAGGGTTTTATATACAGACAGTGGGATTCTGAGGGTGGCTGTTGTTCTGTGTGAGGTACAGACCACAGTGGAAAAAATAGTGCATATGGTGGAAAACCTCAAGGCTGAGATTACAAATTAACAACCAATATAGTTTCTGGGGCTGTGAAACACTAATTTAGATATTCAACTAACGATTATTTTCCTTACTAATTAATTTGAAAGGTACTTTCTTGATTATTTGTATAGCATGAAATATATTAAGCCGAGAAAAGCAGGAAAGAGATTGTTTTTTTTAAAACTTTAAACTTGCTAAGAAAAATTACTTTTTTTTTTAAAACTATTTGTCGATTGACTGAAAATATTTGGTGATTATATTTCTGTACTATACTACTACATCATAATCTTCATCTGCATCATGCTGGTGTGTGTGCACATATGTGTTGTATAAATCCTCTGCCTTTAGATAAGGATCTCAGGATCAGTGTGGTTATAATGCCCCCTCCAGTATGAGATGTGATCCCATTAGCTGGAAACAAAGCCTCTTTACTGCCAGTGATAGGGCAAATCTGTTCCTGCACCAACTGAGAGAGAGGGGGGAGGAAGAGGGAGGGAGGGGGGCAACTCTCCCACTCTCATTTCCGGACTGTCCAGCCAGCTCACGTTCAATACATTTTAGGGGCTGAAGCTATTGATCTGTGCTTCTCTCTCCCCCACACAAACACACACACAATCTCTACCACTCACATCTGTTTTTAAGTGCATTACGTTCCTAAGCCTGTCTGTCAGCACTCATGGACAGCATGACAATGTAAAGCCAGCCATTTAGCTTTTCCAAACAGGAGCAAACAGGCCACTTCACCTCCATTACTGGCGCTTTCAATAGCGGAGAAATAGCTTTCTGTCTTCCAATGGAGTGCTTCTCCGTACATATTACACCATAATGATGTCCACAGCATCCTCTTACCTCCCCCCTTCGGTGCTCTATTAAGAAATATTTGACCAATTTTAGATCACTATGCGGCAAAAAAAACCAGCAAATTGACCTTACCAACACAGAAAGAAAAGAGGTTAAGAGGGTCCATCACATTTGCTGATCCAAGCACATAATAAGAGGCCAAACACTGCAGCAATAAAGTTGATAAAAGCAGGAAGCTGACAATCATTAGATTGATTAGGGTTGGGGTGATTGCCCCCTCCAAAATAAAGCTAGAGGCCTTTATTTACTTCAAATACCCCCTCCGGCCCCTTCAAAGACCACAGAAGCAAACATCGGCATCAATTTCCATTCTAAACCAAATGTTGTCCACACCAATATACCACATGGCAGTGGGGGTTTTTGCATAATAAAGGTCAAGTTTGTTTACATCCCCCTCCCTCTGCTGGGACTCTGTCTGGACACAGATATACATGAAACACAAAGATGCTCTTTGGAGAGTTTAGAAGCAACAGGGTGTCTGATCAGCAATGTGACAACCCAGTGGACACAGTGGATTGACTTAATACAAACTGTACTGCTGCAATTCCTCCTTAAAACCTTAAGTCAATGTCTGAAGCTACAATGCTATACTGTAGCCAACAACAGTGGGCTTACATCCTCACTATTGCCGCCCCCCCTCTTTTAAAACTGAATTAGCAGCAATGTGGAGTCACACAGCTGTGAAACGTGGTGGTATTTCCTGTAGTGGTGGTAATGTACTGGGCAGTCCATGGTGGGCCATTGGGGGCCCTTCTGCTGCAGATACAACTGCAACTACTGTATCTACAACTACGACCTGTGAGCACATCTCAAATGCAGAGTATTTATATGGATAAAATCCACGTAAACAATGTCACCATGCACCAAAACACAGAGAGACCCTTACGCCGCGTTTGTGTCGTGCCTGTATTACTGTATATGGACAAAAGACCCCCTTCCTCCTCCTTCTTCCTCCTCACCTGACCAACCTCGCCGATCACTCCTGAGCCGTCGATCCGGGGACGCTTGCACTCCGCCCCGGCCGAGTCCACCAGAGCCGCCGCTGTCTGTCCGTCGGGCTCCGGGTCTCCGCGCTTCATGCCCCGGACAACCGCAGGAGCGCCGCCCGCATTGGGATGCACCCCGGCCATGGTGTCCAGCTCTCTATCCCGGTCCATGAGACCCCGGGACACAGGCAGCATGATGGATGCAACGTCGGTCGACATTAACATTTAAAAATCTTCTTTTGTCCCCTGCCTTGAGCTAAAACTGTGGGCAGGATATATATAGATATATAACTACACCTACTCTTGTGCACCTTTGTGCTTAAAGCCAGCCTGCGTTAAAATAGTCCTTTAATGCAAGCCAAGTAGCCTTTACTGTGTTTTCCACTGGGCCTTTGTATGACCCCCTTAAAGAGTTGATGTATCTGGAAATGTTTTGGCTCCCGGAGTTAAGAAATGTAATCTCACAAACTGCTTTTTACCTTACAAAAACACGGTGGCTCCAATGACAAAAAAAAAACAAAAAACACACGCGTCCCCTGAAATATAAGCAGGTTAATTTCCAGCTATGTAGCCCCCCTCTTGTTTGCTGACCGTGTATTTATTTACTGCGGGGCTGCCTGAGAGGCCTACGTTATTTCAGATCATAACAAACCAATTAAATAAACACCGATGGCTCCTGAGCATAACCTACCGCCCAATTTCCATCTGCCCTCGTTTTTATATTTCCTTCTTTTATTAGGAAGAGAGAGAGAGCCGTCTGTGTTTTCAACAGCACAACATCAACATCCTACCGCAACCTCAAGACGAGGAAAAAAAAAAACCCTCAAACATGTCTTCCCTGTCGCCTTTTTTTCTCCTCTTCCTCTCCTGTCTAGTGGCCACAGACTTGCAGCACAGAGGTTCACTGAAAGTCAATCCTCGTCAGGAGCTCTCTCTTCTCCCCCATGTTAGTCCGCAGGTCTGCGTTAAAAGAGAAAAGACGATTTTTTTTTCTCCCCCCTTGAAAAAAACAAAACAACGGACGGATGGACTGACGGAGGGGCTGCGGTGTTTCCTTCTCCCTCTTTTCTCTCTCTCTCTCTCTTTCTTTTCTCTCGCCTATTATTTTCTTAGCTCTCTCCGTTTTCCCGGTGTGATCTTGTAGCGTGTGTGTTACAGAAAGGAAATCGTCCTCCCTCCCTCTTTCTCTCTCTCTCTCCCCCTCCCTCTCTCTCACTCACTCTCTCCCTCCCTCCCTCCCTCCTCCTACTCTCTTGGTGTAGTCATTCCCCTCCTCCTATCTTCCGCTCTCCGTTTGAACGCAGAGCCCAGGCAGCCATACAGCCTGCAAACACACGCAGTATGCCGCAGTGCTTCCATACATTTCACTGAGGGGAGGAGGTGCGTTAGTGGAGGGGGGTGAGGAGGTGGGAGAAGGGGAGGGGGGTTCCCATAGCCATGATAGGAGACCGCCGTGCTCTTACAGTATGCACCCAAAATTTGTTAACCCCGACTGCTCCTTTCACATCTACCTGCGCGCAATTGTACATAACATGTTAATTGAATGAGTTTCCACCTCGTTCTGTGCTGCTTTAACGGCGGACAGGATGGCAGAGGGTGGGCTTACAGTCAAGATTTCATTCCGAACTCATTACACAACCAATACAACAGGCCAAGGTCTTCACACGAGCCCAGCTGTGAGTCATGCAGCATGGAGTACCTTATGTTCCTCTGGCATTTTTATTGCTTGGATGACACCCAGTGGTCAAAGGCTACCATGAGAGGCGAATACTTCAGAGGCAATTTGCTGTAGCAAATTATAATACAAGCAAAAGCTGATTTTCTCCCCTCTTGACTTGCAAAGGGCTTTAAACGGGTTCTTCACTCTCTCAGCGCTGTTATTCAACTCTGCCTGGATTATATTAAAACATATGAATGAAGTTTTTCCCTCGTGTGGACTGCAGTACACAACCCATCGTCAGATACTTGATTCTACTTTAACTTTAGAAGAAGGTGATAATGATCTAAACAGGGTGGATCTTATTTGGCAGCAACATTTTAGATCATATCATATGAGTAATAGTTGTTATTTGGGTGTAATCCACTCCTTGCTAATACTATGTGGTAACCTTGTATGTGGCTTTTTGAAGTGTTTTATTCATCCTACAGACTACCGCAGGGTCTGCCCTTCCATGTGAACTTGTCCCATGTCTCTAACAGGAAACTTCAGAACGGACCAAACTAAATAACTGGGCTGGTATTTTTCCATGAGTTTTGCAGCCACTAAGTAGTTTCTCCCTACACAGCAAGCTGTCTGTCATGTCCTCTTCCCTTCCAAGTTAAGGCGTGAAATTACAGAGCGAGCAGTGTTTCTGCTTATGTTGCCCGATCCACCCTTAAAAATCCCTGCAGTATAATAATAGTTCAAAAACCATTTTTGATACGCTTATCTGTGCTTTTCCTGCTGCGTGTTAGGTTATATATTATTTACTTAACTTTTTAAAGGAAGGTAGCTTAATTCAGTTTGTGTCCTAGTAGTGGAAGATAAACAGGGCAGGGGCAGGTTGCATTGACTTAGGCTTGAGCAGCCAAAGACTGGAAACAGCTAGCATTGTCCAAATATATCAAAATCCACCCAGCAGCACCTCTAAAACTCAATAATCAACACACTGTATCTTAATTCACACAAAAGGAAATAAAAAGGCTTGAAAAAAGGTTGTGGTGTTACGGAGGTTGCATGTGGGGCCATTTCTCAGCCGGGAGCAGTGACTTCCGCTTGCCTGCCTGTTAATAACATACACCACAACATTTTTACACTTCAGTTTTTCTACAGATAAAACAAATGAGATGCAATGTAATAATTAGTGTGCTTCAGTGGTACTGGTGGCCCTGTTAGCCGTTTCCCCCCTTTAGTTAGTTGTAGCCTTAAAGAACAAGTGTGTAGGATTTAGTGGCATCTAGCAGTGAAGTTCAAATAAACTAAAGTTGAAGCTGCTATAAGTGTGGCTGGATTACCCACCGGGCAAAGTGGCTATTGTCCCAGGAAGGACACACAAAGCCCCGGGTTCACTGTACTGCGTGGCAAGTGGATTTTAGTAATTTGATTAATCATTTTAAAATAAAAACTAAAGCAGAGAATCAACTGATATAATTGGAGCCTTTAAGATAGATAGATAGATAGAT